GACAGTAAATATAGTAATTTCTATCCAGCATAGGCTTAATTTTATAGAGGTGCAGAATTAATATTTTTAATGTCAGTTTTTCAAAACAGCTGTCTTAGTTTCTTATCTGGATGCTATGATAAAATACACTGACAAAAACATCTTAAGGGAGAGTTTATTTTAGCTCACAGTTCCAGGTTACAGTCCATCATGGCTAGGAAATCAAGGTCTCATGAGCTTAAAGCATCAGGCTATGGAAGAGGAGATCAGTGAGCGCATGCATGCATGCTAGAGCTCAACTTGCTTTCTCCACTTACACAGTCCAGGTTCTGCTCACTCACAATTAAGATGGGTCTTCTTGCATCAATTAACATGATTAAGACAAGCCCTCACAGGTATGCCAGCATGCCAATCTAATCTAGACCATCCTTCCATTGAGACTCCCTTTCCAGGGGATTTCAGATCCTCCCAACTTGACAATTGAAACCAAACATTATGCAGTTAAGGGCAGATATTTCTGCAAGAAACTCAGTTCAATCTAAATATGTACAAACATGGAATCAGAGGAGGTATGAGTGGAATTTAGTGTGTTTGAGAGGGGTAAGGTTCAAGGACAAGGGACTGATCTCAGAGAGGGAACTGGGATCCATATCGCATAGGACTGACTCTATAGGCTACAGTAGAAAAGACTTTTGTTTATTTTATTCTAAGGTATTTGATTATTTTATTCCAAGGCTATTATATTGAGAGCAAAGGAAAAAAGAGCAATTAATGTAATGATATATTCAGGTTAAGTGGAGCACACCAAAGATAGCTTACTGTGCTTTGGAAAATGATACAGTAATGTCAGCATGAGAAGAACATGGGTTAATACTTTTTTTTTTTTTAAATTATACTTTTAGAGCTAGAATCTACAAACTTCATGTTGATATATATATATATATATTTTTTTTCCAACTAAGTTTACTAGACAGCTTTAAACCTTGTTTCATGTCCTCTATTTTTTCTTTTACATTTTACGCTAAAAGAGTGGAATCCACTGGATTAACTTAATTTACTGATAGGTCACTACTTAAAGTAAACCAAACTCCAGTTATGGCCATGTATCCTAAGGTTATATGAAAAATAACAAAGCAACAATACCCCAACTACTTTATATAACAAGTTCTAATGTAGAAAAAAAATCTGTGAATAAACGTTCCTCCTGAAAAGTATTGCCTATGCTCATCTCCCTGGTGTGAAAAGTTAAGCCATGTAAATTTCAAATGGACTTGTAAAATGTCAACAGAATTTTATTAATGGCCTGTAATTAAGTTTGCAGACCTAGATAGTCAACAATTGATCTGATGTGAAGTTTTGAGCAGAATAAGTTGTTTATAGACAGTATGGTTGCCATTAAATTGTCATCTAGGAATTAAAGAAATATCATTTTTACATTTTCTGCAAATTGGTTAGCCTTTGATGTGATTAATGTTGAAAAACTACTTATGGTATGGGTAAAGGATAAATGAAACATGAAAATCAATGTGAAGTAATGTGGAAAATATCCTATTTTTGAGTGTTTGTGTGTTACTTCTGTAACCTTTGGAAAGATATTTAACTTGTTTAACTCTCACATTTCTTATTTATATATGAAAGTGTATCATGGCCTTAAAAAAAACCTAAAACACTAATTCTTGAGATAAGGTCTCATTATATAGCTCAAACTGGCCTTGAGCTATACAGCTACTACTGTATAGCCCAGGCTAGTGCCAAACTTGAGATCCTCCTGAGTGCTGGAATTAGAAGTGTGGGCTACCATGCCTACACTAAAATTCACCTTTTTCCTATTCTTTATTTTGTTTTAAAGATTGATTTTTTTTTTAAAAAAATTTATGTATGTGTATCAATGCTCGCATGTATGTATGTGTACTACGTGCATGCCTTGTGCCCACAGAGGCCAGAACAAGGTGTTGGATCCCCTGGAATTGGAATTACAAGTGGTTGTGAGTCTTCTGATGTGGGTCCTGGGACTGAATTGAACCTGGTTCCTCTAAAAGAGTAGCAGCAAGTGCTCTTAACTGGTGGGCCATCTCTCCATCTCTAAAATTCACCTTTTAAAGTATACATTTTACTAAAGGCCTTTTGGAAAAACCACATGAAAACTTAATACTGTAGAAGTTGTCCAAAATATAAACATATACATATTAAAAAAAGAGTTTAAATGGCACTACTCTATAATGTGGAGACAATATTCCAAGTAGACGCCCCATTCTAGCAAATGAAAACCCCAGTACCAGGAATGAGTTACTTTTCTTTGAGGTGTTGACCAGTGGGATCCCAAAGACCCCCAAACATTACAGGCTATTGCCACTGATTTTGGTTACCCTTCATAAGTTGATGATAAGACAACACATACTTGAGTCATAAATCATGGAGAGATCAAGCAGGTACTGACCTGGAAGCTTCATCCCTACTGGCTAGCTTTCACAATGCTGGAAGGTACTATGCATACTACTGGAGAAAGAGAAAAGTAATAGAAAGAGAAAAGTAATAATCAGTCTTACCCAGCTGTGAACCCTGTGAACTACGATAACAATTGGCCTGACAAGATAGGCTTACTAGTGTAATAGTGGCAGGAATGCTATGGGAGTCACCAACCGCCCTCTGCTTGGATTTAAGGACCTCTTCACAAGATGGAACTCTTACCTGGCACCATTATTGGGGCCAAGAACCTGTGGTTATATGGATCATAGGTCCTAGGAGAGAACCTACTACTAATAGTATACTAAATGGACATAGTATTAAAATGACTTCTAATGACCTATTACCCATAGATTAGTGAATCAGAACCTTCTTACAGTAGAAGGCAATTAACACAGAGACCCACAACTGGTCAATATGTAGAGACTAAAGGACTTCATTGTGCTCAGTCCTATATCATAATCCTGCCCCGACAGCTCAGGGATCTTTGTGGAAGAGGAGGGGTAGAAAGATTGTAAGGTAGTGAATGATTAGAAGGAAACAGTGTTTCCCAGACAGCAGGATGGTTGCAGTTGTGTCAGCATGGATAAAACCTGCTGAAACCAGACAAAATCCCAGCACGGACTAGGGAGGTGGGCACAAAGTCCTACCCCTTATCTAAGGAGCTATTTATTAGCATTTGATAGCTGCCAGAAGAGGAAGAGTAAGTTTTCTTCAAGGGGGTGACCCATACCTCAGGAAATGTTCCCTACCCAAGAGTATTGGGGCAGCATAAATTGGACTCTAGAGGGAAAAAACGAACATGAGAAATTGGGTGGGTAGGGAGTTGGTGCATCTGGGAGGAAAGAGGGAAGAGGAGAATATGATCAAAATACATTGTATGAAATTCTCAAAGAATTAATAAAAATATTTAAAAAATATACAGTTTAGTAGCTTTTAGTAATTCATGGAATTATGCAACTATTGTCTTTAGCTTTTTGTTTTCTCATCATTCCCAGAGGAAATCTTGTGCTACCCAGCCACCCTGCCACCTTAGTTTCTTGCAGCCACTGATGTAACTTTGTCTTTATGGGTTTGCATTTTTACCACTGAGCCATCTCTCCAGCCCCATATTTTTTAAAATACATTTTTAAACTCTTAATTCATTTAACATATATGAATGTTCTGCTTAAGTGTTTCTAAGTGTACCTGTGTAAGTGCAATGCCTGTGGAGGCCAGAAAAAGGCATGGGATCCCCTGGAACTGTAGTTGTGGTCAGTTGTTAGTCTCCATGTGGGTGCTGGGAACCTGGGTCTTCTGCAAGAGCAGCCAGTGTTCTTAACTTCTGAGCCATTTCCTCAACCCCAGATTTTGCATATTTTGTGTTTTATGTAAATGTATTAATATAATATGGTCTTTTGTGAGTTGTGCTGCTCCCTCACCTTCTCCTGTTACAATTGTGTCAGCATGCACAAGCCTGCTCAAACCAGACAAAATCCCAGTATGGACTGGGGAGATGGGCACAAAGTCCCGTCCCCCCTCCCTCCTGTCTAAGGAGCTATTATTAGCATTTGATACCTATACAATTTCATGTTCCCCCCCCCCCACCCCAGAGTCCAAGTTTTGCAATTTATTGACCCCAGGGCCTTGGGCATGCTAGCAAGCACTTTGTCACTGAACTACTTCCCAACCCACATTTATCTTCCTCCTTTTTTTTTTTTTTTTTTTGAGACAGGACCTCTCCAATCTTAAACTCATAATCCTCCTGTTTCAGTCTTCTGAATGCTGAGTTTACAGGCACATGCCATCACACCTAGTCCTCACTGTCTTCTTTTACATTCTATAAGTTCATTCAGGTTAAGGTGTATGTCAGTAAGTACTTCATTCCTTTGTATTGCCAAATAGATACCTGGTATATAAATATATTTGTTTATCTATTCATCAGTTGATGGACATTAGGGTTGTTCTCATTTTTTTGACTATTTTATCAGTGCTGCTTGGAACATTTGTATGCAAGTTTTTGTGAAGATATGTTTTCAACTTTTAAAAAAATATTTTATTATTTTTATTTTATGTGTCTGAGTGTTTCGCCTGCACGAATTTAAGTGCACCATGTGTGTGCAGTGCCTACAGAGGCCAGAAGAGGGTGTTGGGTCCCCTAAAACTGGAGTTACAGATGGTTGTTAGCTGCCATGTAGGTGCTGGGAATTGAACCTTGGTTCTCTGGAAGAACAATCAGCGCTCTTAACCACTGAACCATCCCTCCAGCTGTTTTCAGCTATTTTGGATAAATACCTAGGAGTGTAGTGGGTGGGTCGTATTCTAACTTTATGTTTAACATTTTTAGGGCACGACAAACTGTTTCATATAATAGTTCCAGCAGATGTCCAGTAGGATTTTAAGCCATTCAGCTTTAGGGCTTTATTTCCATTTGTGTTGTATTTTAACTGAAATTAGTAGTTTGAGTTGATGGGGGAAAGTGTACCTGAACTAGTTAGTAAAGTTGAGAGTCCTTGTTTAAAGGTAAGATTGGATTTATCACTCTTAATCTTTTGCTTCTTTTTTTTTTTTCTTTTCAGTTTTATCTCCAAGACACTAAAAGTAGTAATGGCACCTTTATAAACAGCCAGAGATTGAGTCGAGGCTCTGAAGAAAGTCCACCATGTGAAATTCTTTCTGGTGACATTATCCAGTTTGGGGTAGATGTGACAGAGAATACACGGAAAGGTATGAATATGGATCTGTTTTTCTTGCTGTTTTTATAAATTTATTTATTTTTTGTTATTTAATGTTATAAAACATTACATGCTTATACCAGCTGTTTAAATATAGCAATATGGATATATACAGCAAAAAATTTAAACGTTATACACTTCCCTTCTGCTCTGTTCTTCTAAAATTTGAAGTTATAAAATGTTAGTTAATAATTTCTTTATCATGTTATGAAAACATAGGGAGCTTTCCTAGCTTGTCATTTAGAGCCACTTAGCTGCAGTGACTCATACCTAGCTAAAATGGACTTAAAGCATGGGGTGGTATTTATTAATAGCAAGACATACTGAGAAGTCTGGAGACGGTTTGCTTAGCTGACTTAATAATATAATAGAAGCTCAATCATAAAAGCACAAGGGAAAGTATTTGGGGAGCACAAGGAGACCAGTAGGAGGAATAGAGGACGAGTAATGGGCAAATATGATCCAAGGGTAGTGATTGACACACACACACACACACACACACACACACACACACACACATGTACACACACGTGTGTGCATATAAAAATGATAATAATAAAACTCATTTTTTGTATCCTAACTAAATTATTTAAAATGTAATGAAGGCTGAGCATGGTGGTGCACGCCTTTAATCCCAGCACTGGGGAGGCAGAGGCAGGTGGATCTCTGTGAGTTCGAGGCCAGCCTGGTCTACATAGTGAGTTCCAGGCCAGGTAGGGTTACAGGGAGACCCTGTCTCAAAAAGACAAAAATAAATAAATGAAAAGTAATGAGCTAGATATGGTGGCACATACCTGTAATCCCAGTACTCAGGAGACAAAAGCAGATGGAGATCTGTGAGTTTAAGGCCAGATTGGGCTATATAGTGAGTTCAGCCTTGCCTTAAAAAAAAAAAAAAAAAAAAAAAAGATCGCCAAATGTTTTACCCTAAAAATACATAATTGGGATTCTAAGGTCTTAACTGTCCTTTTGTTCTGCTATCCTCAACATGTTGTTGTTTTCTTATGCTTTTATGAATCTCATGGTCAGAGGGTGATAGCTGCAGCCCCACACATCATTTTCCTCACACCAGTAATCCAAGCAAAAAGAACGAGATGATGACAAAGTGCCTTCTTATGTCTTTTTTTTTGGTTTAAAAGTCAATTTTTCTGAAACTGCTCTAAGCATGTATTTCCCTATGCATTACTAGTCTCATGAATAGGTCACATACATAGTTACTTGCAGCTACACGAAATTACTTGACAAAAGAAAACAAGGAAATCTATGATTGATATAGATCAATTTTGATTAATCTCTTTAGATTGTGTATACATTGTTATCCTAAACAAAATAAGAGTTTTGTTAGCAAAGAAGAGAGGAGAAGCTGTGGAAGCAGGCAGACTGAATGCGAGTCTGAGGCTTCATGTGCTGTGGTCTTGGACAGTAGATCAGACTACTTTCAGAGCTAAATAATGGAGACTGGTCTTTTTTTTTTTTTTTTTTTAAAGTACTAACTTGTTTTATTTTATGTGTACATGTGTATTGCCTGTGTATATAGGTAAGTGCACTGACAGAAGAGGCTGTCGGATCCCCTGGAACTGGAGTTATGGACAGTTGTTAGCTGCCATGTGGGTGCTGGGATTTGAACCCGGGTCTTCTGAAAGAACAGCCAGTGTTCTTAACTGCTGAGCCATCTCTCCAGCCCTGTCTTTTATAATTCTGAAGATTCTTGGCTCTACCTAGTTCACTGTCTACTCTCTGATCATAGATTTTATGACTGACTCATAAAATTAATCCACTTTTGGTTACAAACCAAAAGAGGGAAGTTACACTTTATTAGTTTAGTAGAGGCAGTGGAGCAAAGATTTGGCAAGTTTCTCCTTTTCTGAACAAGGTCTGATCTGGTGAGACACTAGTTCATAAGATTTTGATGCTTTGCACAGTAGAGTGCAATTGGTGGTGAGGCTTGTACTTTTCTGGTGTCAATATTTGTGGACACATTTCTGTATAAACTTGCACTAGAGTTGCAGTAGTAATTATAGTTTTACTAGATTTAAAAGATTTTCTCCTCAGTGAGTTATGTTTTGATACTTAAATTTGGTAGGACCAAAACTGTAGGAATTTCCATTTTCAGTTGTAAAGTAAAGGTGGAATTTTGATGTAAAGTGTTGACTACTCCTTTGTAAGAGAACTCAGCTCACGTGTGATCACAGTGAGAACATCAGTGTTGGGTAGTCCTGTATCTGCTGTTGCCATAGTGTGCTTAAGCATAAGTAGATGCAGCCCCAAGTGTAAGTAACCCACAGAGAAGAGAATTTGATTACATTGTATTTGCTTCAAGGAATTTCTTCTACTGCTTGACTTAGGTATTAATTGATTTTAAAAATGAGATTATCAGAAAATTTTAGGAAGTGCTTAGTTAAGCTAAACTAAGCTAAACAAAGCCTTTAATGTGCTGGCATATATGCAGATATGTAGGGAGTTGGCCACTACAGAGCACAGCTTGCAGCTCTTTCCAAGTTTCTTTGTACTCTTCTTTCCTACCTGTGTCTGAAGGATACTTTTAGAAAAAGCTAAGAGGATGGCCCTGAGATTATGAATACAGTATTATTTCTGCAACATTGCATTCCTGCAGGCTTTTTTGGAATATTCATTGATCTTCTATGCCAATTTAAGAAATCAGAAAGTTTCTTTGTCATTTAAAATGTTATGCTTTCGATATTTATTGTTGTTATAAAGCTTATTTGTGCTTGAGGGTGTTAGGGTTATAGGCAAGTACCGCTATCCTTGGTACTATAACTGCTCTTTGTCACACACTAATGCAGTAACTGTATCTTGCACGTTTGGACCAGTAGTTCTGTGAAGGTAACTTGTAACTCTAAATATGCCACCATCCTAGGTTCTCTTCATTCGCATTCTCATTCATTCATTCTCATTCTCCCCCCGCCCCCCGTCTCTCCCTTTTTCTTTCTCTCCTGACAAAGGGCCTGTGTTGGGAAACAAGCGCAATTATATTGTCTGATTTTTCTGTTCCAGCTACACTGAATTAAATTCATTTCTTATAATAAACCTTGTATTTTCAGACCTTAAACCTGTTGCAGCATATGTTTTTTCCTATGCCTAGAAATCTTTCTTTTCTTTTCTTTCTTTTTTTTTTTTTTTTTTTTTTTGAAACGGTCTCTCTGTAGCCCCATGGCCTGAACTCACTACATAGACCAGGGTGGACTTGAAGTCACAGAGATCCACCTGCTGGGGTTAAAGGTTGTGTGCTACCATGCCCGGCTAGAAATCTTTCTTTATTGCACAGGGCTAGATGAGGTGCCACCCCCATATTTCTTTTGTACCCTGGGCTCTTTTATACATTTACCTTACTTTGATAGACTCAGAGTTGTATAGGAATAGTAATTGTGTCCCTCTTTGTAGAATGCTCACATTCAACCTGACACTTGTTTAAATGAATTTTTAAATGTTCCGTGAATTTTCATCTACAATTTTATAAAAAGTCTTTTAAAAAAAAGTTTGTGTGTGTGAGTGAGTGAGTGAGTGTGCAGGTTCATGTATGCCATGTTGACTGTTTAAGTCAGAGAACAGCTCACAGGAGTTGGTTCTCTCCTTCCACCTTGTGGGATTTGGGGATTGGACTTAGATCATCAGGCCTGTGTGCAGGTCCTCTACCCACTGAGTCATCTTGTGACCCTCATTTTACAAAAGTTCTTTTTCCCATCTCAACAAAGACGATGGCAACCTTCCTCTCAAACCTCAGAGGCATAATGTAAAGACTGCAATTTGGAAGCCTCATTACTCAATACCCATTTTATTCTGTCTTCTTGCTATCTGTTCTTAACTTAAGCTTTTTTTTTTTTTTCTCCATTAACTTAAAAAGCAGCAACTATGATCTTCCTATCTATCTTAATGGGTTGTGGAACAGTGCTTAATGTGGACATTGTGCTGTGACATTCTGTATGAACATTGAAAAAGTGTTTATAAAGTGCTCTGTTCAAGGCCATGCACTATATTATTACCAAAGCCCTTGCTATTCATTTGTGTTTATCATTAAATTTGCTTCTTTTTCTTAGTACTTTCAACTCTAGGGTCCTCTGTCCATTGGAACCCATCATTAGGTGATTCAGCTGTTCTGTTTACAACTTCCACTTCTAACCGCTATGAGAAACCATAATGCTGACTGAGTACAGAGTATGCTAACTCTACCAGCTTAACTAATGTCTGATGCCATGATAGTCTTCTTTTGTTCTGCTTTCAGATTGTGCTGGATAGCTTTAGTGCCAACTTGACACACCTGGGTTGGGGGAGCCTCAATTGGGGAATTGCCTCTATTGGACTGGCCTGTGGCCATGTCTGAGGGCATCTTCTTGATGAGTGATGTGGGAGGGCCCAGCCCACTGTGGGTAGTGCCACCCCTGGGCAGGCGGGCCTGTGTTGCATAAGAAAGCAGGCTGAGCAGAGGCCAGGGGAGCAAGCCAGTAAGCAGCGTCCCTCCATGGCCAGTGTGCCAGCTCCTGCTTCCAGGTTTCTGCCCTGAGTTCCTACCTTGGGCTCCCTAATGAACTGTGACCTGGGAGTTGTAAGCTGAATAAACCCTTTCCTCCCCAAGTTGGTAGTGGTCAGAGTATTTTGTCACAGCAATGAAGAACAAACTAGGACACAGATGGATTTTCAAACTTGATTGTGGACCAGAATTACTGCAGAACTTTATAAAATTACACATGCCTGGATCCCACTTTTCACTATTTCAAGGGAACATTGCTAGTTGTAGAACCTGCTGTTCTGCATGTAGCTGGTTTTAAGAACCCTACTTAAGTCAGTTGCTAGCATCAACTGATTTGAATGTATGCTTTCCCTTTCAACTCCCAGATTTTCTTTCTGAGCCTTGTCTTCTATCAACATGCTGTCTCTGAATCTGTATTTCCATCTGTTACTCTGTCCTCTTGAATGCCTTCTTGTCACCTTTTGTTGTTTCAGATAAGGTCTGAATATGTAGTCCAGGTTGGCCAA